AATTTTGCGCCGCCTCCGAAAAGGTTGAAATGTATTTAATACACTACCTAACGAGTAAATAGGTTTCATTCATATCTGTGACGTAATTGTATGATTGAATGAAATAGAAATTATTTTATACTTTTTAGTGCATTTCGAAGTCGGTGTATTTTTTTTCTTAAAATTATTTTATAAGCTTCTAAATTCCTGAATTCTCAAATTCTCAAATTCTCAATTTCGCAAAATCCTAAATTTCCATATTCTCAGGCTTACGGATTCCCAAATTCCCAAATCTTCTAATTCGCAAGCCTTAAATCTTAAACATTTCTGAAAACTTGCTTTTTACTTTACACATTCCCCAAATCAACATCCTTAATATATCCAATTAAATTCTGTCCATCAATCTCCATTTTATTTCCCCCGTAAAATATTACAATAATTTCATTTCCTTCTATTTATTCTGTAATGTATCTACACAACCAACTTCATAAACGCATTCGCAACCGTAGACACAGAATTGCAAACCACTGCTGCGGTGCAACTACAATTTAGTGTCTCGCTAATATTTGATTTGATTACGTTTCATATAACAAATTTTGTCAGAATCAGCGACTGACGGACAAGTTGTTACCTAATCGAATTAACGATTATTTCCGACTTGAATGTACTTCGTACTTCGTCCAACTTCGAATGTGTTTCCCTGACATAAATCAAAACTTGCAACTTCCACTTCTGCTTCCAGTATGATGGTCCTCTGTTCTGTTCATTCCCTTTGTATCTACCCAATGTTGGTACATATGTACAAATGTAACCTGCTTACATAGGGTGTATAGATAGAAGGTTACACCAGGTGGTTGTTGAATGTCAGCGGTTTATTCTATCGCGCTGTGTGCTACCTTTCTCCTAGTTTCAGTATAAACCAAACTTCTGAATAGATGACAGTATATCTGGTAGTAATTAGGTGCGTGCTACGGTAAATTTCTCGTATTTGCGCAGGGGGAATCTTTAGTGAAGTAAGATATTGCTTGTTGAAGACAATCGTAGAGGAAATTTATCGGAGCTAACTGTGTTATGGCATTGTACTTTGCAAGTGAGATGGGAAAATTGAAGGGTACTGGAAAAGTATGTTATTCTTTGAATTTTCGGAATATTAAAAATCAATATAATTGTGTGAGCATAACATGATTGTCTGAAAATAGCGTAGTAATGCAAAAAGATATAAAGGAAACGTTATATGATAATGTTCAAATGATGCTATAAACATAGTATGATGACGCAAAAATAGTAGGATAACACAAAAATGGTATGTTGTTGCGAAAATAGTACGGTGGCGTAAAAACATGATGACACAAAAGTAGCACAATGTTGCAAAAACAATATGATGACGGAAAATGATGCGATAATGAAAAAGTGATATGGTGGCAGAAAAATATTGTGACAATACGAAAATGATATGATAGTGCAAAAGTAACATAATGACAGTAGAATAGTACGATAATGCAAATACATAAAGGGATGCAAAGATAGTATGATCACGCGAAAATACTACGCTATTGTAAAAATTGTATGATAACGTAAAAATAGTTCCATAACGCAAAATTAGTATGATGACTCAAAAACGGTATAATAACGCAGAAACGTTATGATGACGCAAATCATATGATACTATAAAAATAGTACGATGATATAAAATTAACATGATAATATAATTTTAAGTAAACTAGTAATCAGTACGAATTCAGGAATTATTTAATTCAACTAATTCTATCTGAATTTCTTTTTCTTTTTCCTTTCATTTTAATTTATATGGATTAAGGTGTATTTGTTCATTTACAGTGTAATTAAAATTTTATACACTTATAATTAATGTATTTTGTTTGTAAATACTCCATTAACCTACTATGTTTATTTTCATTACAGGTATGTCAATTATTACTGTACAACCAATTAAGTTATCAACTAGTCTAATGATACACAGAAAGATGGTGAGTATTTGCAAAATTATAGTCTTCATATTTTATGATACAACTGTATCGTTGAATCGCATCGTATTTTTTACAATAATTATTTTGCCTTTTCCCATTTTTAACCCTTAACGCTCCGACTTTTAATTGTGAATATCGAACTCCAACTTACTCTCATCATATTTCGATTTGTAAGTTTATATGTGTCAAATTTTAAATGCTACAATGACGTGTAAATAATAATGTTAAAGCCATTAATCTCTTCGCGTGCTTTGACGAATCTCACTCGTGACGCACTTTCAGCTCAAATGTGACAAACCTTACTGAAATTTTGAATACTCTTCAACTTGAAATTTAGGTCTAATTATAAGTTGTATTATCAAAGACCCTTAAATATAAAATACTCACAACATTTTAATTTTCTTTGTTTGTGTTAATGTTATAGCCCTGAGTCGGGACTGACGCGTCTGATTAATAAATAGCACGGGAAGGGGTTAAAAACAATCTTCATTCTTATCAGAAGTAATATAATTTTGATTACAATATTTATATTAATTATAATTGAGTAATGTGACACCGCACATCGGTGGTGCTTGAGAGACACATTTGTTCTTAATTCTCACATTATAAAACTTGCAAAATGGTAAAACGACAAGTGGCGAAATGATAAAACTTACAAAACGTACAAAATTTATATTTCTTGTTAATATTCAATGTAATACCGTTTATTGCTATATTCACACAAAAATTTATTATACTGGATAAGTCTTCATTTGCAATATATATTTTATGTTTGGATTTAAGTACGCATTCTGAAAGTAAGAGAATCGAACAGGAATTTTTATGACAGAAAAAATCCTTACACAGAATAGCTTTCACGATTCAACGATTTATGGGTATAAAAAAAGTAACTGCGATGAGAAATAGATCAACATAAAACGAAATTTTATTTCGGATACTAAATAGACTATTTTGTTTGAAATTGTTCAAACAAGCAGAAAACCGAAATGGTTTATCTACAATAGATTTGTAAATGTGTATTCTAAAACAACGAGACCGTAGTTCGAAATATTTTATTTATCTTAATTTATATTCAATTTATTTCAAATACTTCATGTTTGGTAAAATGCACAAACTATTCAGTATTCACAAAAATGTATATTTATAACTTTTTTATATCCAGCCTTATTTTAAACCGTAAAACGGTTTATAAATGTACTTATTTTTGTGTGCACAATCTGTAGCTCTTTGATTGTACATTATTTTTTGCATCTCCTTAAATATTAAAGTAATTTTAACTAACTTTAGATTAATAAAATTAAATCAGATAATTTAATTAATTAGAATCTTTTATTTTTAACTGATAGTGAAAGTAAAAAGATTGACTTAAAAAGTTTTCATTTATTTTTTAACAGCTTTTTTATGACGAAGGTAAAAAAAAGCGTGACAAACTCCTGAAATACCTTATATTTGTATAACCAAGCGCTAAATACTATGAGTCTACATTCTTCGTTTGTAACATCGTGGATTAAGCAATACGTATTCTTTAGTAAATGAAATCCGGCGTTCTTTTTTCCATTACCGCGGCCTGTGAGAAAATTCTTTACCTAACTCACTCATTATTTATGGTGGTATGATCCAAAGCTGACTACAGTTTGCAAAGAGAATCCCTCCACTTTGTGTCTATTCCCTTTACGCAAGTTGTAATCCGCGTACAACATCAAGAACATAGGCTTACTCTGCACTTTTCACAATAAAAGAGATATTTTTTTTGTGCAATGTACGTCGAAATGTGCCTGGCACATCAGCAGTACTGCACAAAGGCATTATTCATTGTTGCTGACGCACTAATCTCCCGCGAAGATTAATGAGGTTACTATTTACTTGTAATTTATTTTATTAGCGGAGGAAGTTATATTTGGAATATTAGTTTGTTTACAACGTATGGAAATTTCGGCAAAGCACGGAAGCATAACATCACAAACTTAGGCTGGAAGTCAAATTTAACATCACAAGAATTAGGCTGCTCAGTTAATTTGCAGACATCAAAAGTCTGACACAATTTGATGACATAGAATGTCTACAAACCAATGCTTATGAAACATCGATTGGATGATTAAAGTTTGCTGAAAATAACTATGTAAATTTCCATAATCTTCTTTAGCATGAATTGGCTGGTTGCAGATCTCATCGATTACTCTGTACAGTGCACAGCAAGATCTAACAATTAACAATTTTGTACTAAATTAGTGAACAGTTTGAATGGTCATTTTCAAAAAATGTCAAGCTTTAAATTGATGTAATACAAGTGCTATTTAACGACAATTTTATGCCATCAAATTGTTTCACATTTTAGGTGTTCCGAAATCAATCATTGTTTGTTGTATGTGACAGCCATCTTGTGATTAAAATATTACTGAAACGTTTGCGTAGTCATTTTCATTGAACCTTAAGTTCAAGTTGATTTAGTTGATATAAGTTGATATAACATACGCGATATTTTATAGTACTTTTATGTAACCAAATCTTGTTAGACTTTCGATGTTTCAAAGTCGTACTCTTGATGTGCTACGGCTTAAGACAAAGAAGATTTCGTAACATTTACTTTTAAGAAACATATTAATGAACGGTTTACGTACTAATTTCCATTAAATTTATTTTCATTTATGCTTCAAATTGACGCAGCATAAATATTTTAAGTACTTTTATGTCAACAATTTGTGTCAGATTTTCTACTTCGGAATCAAACATTGTTTTCTGTAATCGTAGTTAGTTATTTTATAGTAAGTATATTATCGAAGTATTTACATAATCTTTATTATTCTTTTAGCTTCAATTTTATATCACATAAATACTATTTGAGAAGTTTATCTTTAAAGTGACGCAAATCCATTTGAGTATAGAACAAAATCTTTTAGCCAACATTTTGAAGACTATTAGACAATATACATATATATAAAGAATTTCTGCTCACCAGTATTTTGAAACTTCTTGAAATGTAAATTCTTAAATGTCTCGCAATAATAAAACCTAGACCTGCACCACTTTTAAAATAAAAAGCTCATCTTAATTCTGTGTCATCAAAGTTTGACTTTCCATTTTCGAAATCGATCATTTTATATGCACTAATCTTATATATCATGTTGAGTGACACGGAAAAAAAGGTTTGTCAGTAATCATCGATAACAACCAAGGAAATTGAGATCGTAAAAGCGATTTTATACCGTTTCAAGTGCTCACCAACGCTTGGCGTCGCAATGAGGAACGAGCTCTTTGAAATTCTCAGTGGAATATTGGAGAACTCGTAAAGTTCAGCGTAGAATCAGTGAATCCACCACGTTTAAAGCGAAATTTTTGTGCCGTTGTTAAAAGCACGTTTCCAGATGTTAAGTCTTCTTTACGATTGAACAATTAGTATTCCCCGATACTACAATCCTTTATTTACCGATGAGAAAAGTTCGAACTGATTTAGAGAAATTTTAACTATTCGCCATTGAATAGTGAAAATCGGTGATTGAAAAAATTCTACTGAATTTTCAAAAAATGGTAAATGAATTATTGATTTTTAAAAATGTCCACACCGTCACATTTATATTATTCAGGATTTCGAAATTTCTGATTGCCCAGTTAAAAATAAAACGATTTAATTGTAATTGGTAGCTAAATAACTTTTAATTTATAATCGAACAGTTTTACTCTCTGTCTAGCTTTTAATTAAATGATCTTGTGAATGAAAATTAAAGTTTCGTTAAACTTGCCAAATTAAAGATTGAAAATTTAATTTGATTGAGAATTCTTTTAACTATCAATTAATTTTCGATCGGTACTTAAAATTTCTTCTAATTAAGAATAAAGATTTTTCTTTATTCGCTATTTCTTTTTTATTATTTTCTTTATTTAATTAAATTTCTAATTAGAAATAAAAGTTTATATTTTAATTGAATTTTGCATAAGTAAATGTTAATTTTAATATTAAATTGTAATTTCTCTAAACGCAGAATTACAATTTAGTTTTTTATTAAAAATTGTGTGAAATACAATTATTTCGTTTAAAACTCATTGTTAAATAATTGATTGCACGATTACATGTTGATGCACATAATGATGCAGTTTGTATATTGTTTAATTTATCATTGTTTCGTGCGTATACTGAAAGGCACAACACGATTTCACGCGAAAGCAACGTTATTCATTCTTCTTGAATCTTACGTGATCAAGAATGTACTTAGATTCAATTTAATCCATTTTGCGATCACGCTTTTACTAAAGTTTCGTTGACGGTTACAAGTTACGAGACACTTCCGTTGACAAAGTTTAAATCGAATAAGAAACTTGCGAAGTACTAATTAACGACGTTTATACCGTACTTCAAGATCTTACTGCACAATCTTTTCCGATGAAGAATATTATTATGATTAAATCTTCGTAAACTGTAACGTGTACGGATGACATACAGTGAAAGCAAATAAAATGCTCATTTAATTTTTGCCGCGGATAAAAACGCTAGTTTATAAATAGTAATTACAGAATACAATTCTCTTAACACTAAACCTATCAAACCTATCATATGATGTGTAAGTATTTAAATTGAAATTAAAAATGAAGTTGAAAAATAAATAAACAACCAAACATAAATTAGTACACACATTTATTCTTTATCTTGATGGAAATCAATGCTGATTTTAAGGAATGTACTTTAACAAAATGTGTTCCTTACAATAAGAAACTTATGGAGCGGTCATTTGACCGATTTGGTAGTTTTAGTGTTCATGTTTCAGTGCAAAATTGACTTACGCAGAAAATAATAATTGGTCAATAATTTAAAAAATGCTTAATGTTAAAGACATATTCGAGGATATTAATTAGAATTAGATGCATAACTGAATTTCAATTTTAATTAAGACTAGTTTATTTTGTGTTAAAAATTATTTAAATGCAATGATTATTTGTATTAGAAATTTTGTTAATGCAATAATTCATTGAATTAAAAATTTTATGTGTGTACTAATTGATTGTATTGA